GGTAACAAAAGGAGGACTTCAAGATTAATTACTCCATCAGTCAAGCTTCGTGATTATGTTTGTGGATAAAAAATATTTGTTGTTAGTTGGTCATGCATGCATGTTTGTTTCATTTGACTATTTCCTACTGCATTTCCTTATGGTTGTTAGTAGTGCCAAATAAATCTCGAATAATTAGGAAGTCGTTATTTGTAAATTCAATATTTATTGAGCATGAGAAATAAAGTACAGGGCATTACCCTTTGAATCAAAACTTCCCTGTCTGAACTCTAATTAATTTGTTTCTCCCTCATATTTCTTTTCTGGAGCATTTCCACTCTCGAAAGTGGAACAACAACCAAAACAACATTTACTTTCCCAACAAACTCGGTTATCCTTTTAAGATTAAAATTAACTCAGCTAGATTAGTTTTGTTTTGTGATTTGTGAGAAGTGGACTGTGCAGATGTAAAAAATTAACTCGACCAAAGAAAAATGTTATTAAATTCATCATCTGAAATCTGAATCCATATTTGCCCAAACTATTTAAATGTCATAAATCGAGTTATGACACTAAAGTATAACACCAAGTGTAAGTTAACATTATCTCTATCACCTAAAATCAATCATGAGTACGTGCATCACTACATTTAGGGGCCATGCATGCACGTTAAGAATTATCCATACAAATAAACACTTAAAAACTAAAACTGACTTGTATTGCTGCACATGCTATGTTATTAAAATGAAATATGATTTGTGGACTGGTTAATAATATATCCCGTTTAGAGACCATAAAAAAAAATATACATAATACAACAGAATTTTATATTTAGAGACTTATTTAAATAAAAATTAAATATAAAAGAAATTTAAAATTATTTCAACAGATTCGATCATGTCTTAAAAATCTCTACAATATATAGCAATCTCTAATATTATGTGCCCCAAAAGGTGGCATCTACTATATATATATATATATATATATATATATATATATATATATATATATATATATATAAGAGTCCAAGAGAGTGAGGCCTATAATGGGTAGAAAAAATGACGGTCAAATTTTTTAATCAAATGAATGGCTTAGATTGATTCGATTTTAATTTTTCCTTAAGATTTCCTAATTTATCCTTAATGAATATGATTATTCGTTAACTTTTCCGTTAAATATTATCTTTTCCGTTAATTTCTGTTAGTTCACCGTTAACTTACTCATTGATTTCAATAAAAAAGGTTTTAGATTCGAACCTCATCCCAATCAAAGTTGGCATAATTAGTACTCTATTTACTCTTATTAATTAAAATAATTAAAATAATAATTTAGTAGCCACAACAACAAATAATACATATGTATTTTTTTTATTTAGAATTATGTGTCTACAATATATTTATTCAAAAAAATTATTCATTATCAACAAATTAAATAAGAGTAATAATTTCATTAGTTATATTGTCTTTATTTTTCTCTAATATAAAAATTATTTACATTCAAATTCACCAATTGATTATATTCGTTTCATTGTCCCTACAATGTCTTTATTAAAAAAAAAAATTATTCATTATCAATAAATTAATTAAGATAAATAATTTTATTAGTTATATTGTCTTTATTTTTCTCCAATGTAAAAATTCTTTACATTCAAATTTATCAATTGATTATATTCACTACATTGTCTATTATCTTTTTTTTTTTTTGCACTATTTTTTTAATTAAATATCAAAGTTATAATACAAAGTAATGCTATATATTTATTTACTAAGTATTTTATTAATACCATGAAAAAATTAAAATATATATATAATTAATAAGGTTGTTGTTGATAAAGCTGAAAGTACGGACTAGTACCATTAGACACAGGAGACGGAAGGCGGTTGATTAAATGAACCGCCACCTCAAAGGCATAGAACCAATATTTCTGGGGAACTTGGTCGTGGGCTAACAGGGCGAGGCCTGTTTCCACAACATGACGGTTCCTGCGCTCTACACGCCCATTCTGTTCGTGTGTATGAGGGCAGGATTTCTTGTGAAGTAATCCTGCGGCTGCAAAAACCGAACTTAACTTAACATACTCGCCCCCCATGTCCGATTGAACACATTTTATGGGTCGGGAGAATTGTTTCTCCACTAACGTACGGAACCTATTGAATATGTGGTAAATATCTGATTTGAGACGCATCGAATAGATCCACATGAATCTAGAAAAGTCATCTACGAACAGTACGAAGTATTTATGACCTTCGACTGTGGGTACAGGAGATGGACCCCAAATATCCGAAAATATTAAATCTAGAACTGATTGACTCGAATTTTCAATCCGCGACAACGGGAAGCGCGCAGACTTGCCCATCTGACACGGTTTACATAATTTATTTAATGAACTAAATAAACCTACGACTGGACAGGCTGACAGGACCTGTTTTAGAACCCGAAAGTGAGGATGACCAAGGTGTTCATGCCATGTCTTCGGAGTGGCTTTAGCTGACAAGAAGGCAACTGGACTAGAAAGATTTAGCGTGTACATCCCGCCCGTGCTAGGACCTCTAAGTAGAATCTGCTGAGTAGTACGGTCCTTCACAACAAAATAACGAGGGTGAAATTCAAAATACACATCATTATCATGTGTGAACTTTTGGACAGAAAGAAGGGATGCACGTAATTCAGGAACGTGTAATACGTGTTTTAGAAATAGAGACCGAGACGAGGAATTTAATGAAACTGAACCTGTATTGTGTATATCCAAACCTGAGCCATCTCCAACTTGTAGCGTCTCACCACCGGTATATTGCTCAACACCCGATAGGTCATCTATGTTTGGCGTTGCCTGATTATTCGCGCCTGTATCTGGCAGCCAAACATTCGAGAAAGGAGCAGAGGAGTGGTCATTTTGAGGAGGCCTGTGTGCCATATTTGTTTGCGGCGGATTCTGTCGCATAACAGCTGCATGATGCGCACCCCCGTAGTTCTCAAAACGCCGGTAGCACGTGAGGACGGTATAACCGGGTATGTCACAGATTTGGCACCGGACCCCACCCCGACCACGCTGTCCTCTGCCCCGTTGGCCTCTATGATTCCGGCCGCGGCCACGGCCTCCGTCATGGGCACTCTTGGGGTTCGACGTCGCCTGCTGTGCAAGCAAAGCCGCTGGCTGCTGAGCGACAGGAGCAGCCTCCTCCAGGAAGAGATAACTGTGTGTGTTGAGTAAGTCCGCAACCTCCGATATGGTTAGCGGGGAACTTTTGGTGGTGAGCGATGCGACTAGCGAGCGGAACTCTGGGCGTAAACCTCTGAACAAGTGAAGGTTTTGTTCGTCGAGGCCTATTGGCCGGCCGGCCTGAGCAAGCTGCTCTACAAGGACCTGAGCACGTCCGAGGTATTCCGACGTCGTAGAATCTCCTTGGTGAAGACCCTGTAGTTGCGTCAGTAGGCTCAGCGTGCGTGACCGGGATGTAGACCCCAATGCCGTTTCAATTGCCACCCAAACTCCTCTAGCGGTGGAGTGGCCGATTTCTAAGTAAAGAACCTCCTCTGCGAGGGAGGAGATGAGCATACTCAAGATCGACTGATCTTGCTGAATCCAGTCGGCATGGTGCGGGTTGACAGTCGGGGAGGCCGAGGTGGTCGCCGATGAAGCAAGAAACTTCGGTGGGCAGGAATGTGTACCATCTACAAAACCATACAGGTTTTGGCCCCTCAAAAACGGGACTAGTTGCGCTCTTCAGAATAGGTAATTCGTGGCTGTCAGCTTGATGGATACGTAATGGTGTGCCTGCTGTAACATGGTGGTTGTTCGCCAGTCGGAGTGAGTGATAACCTGGGTGGAGGAATCGACCGGAGAGGTGGTGTTGCCTGTGGCAGGGGGGTTGTTTTGATTTTCACTGGCCATAGGATCAATGATAGGCTGATACCAAATGGAGTAGTTAATAATCTGTATATTCAATCAAATAACAAGAAGCACTGTACAGACTTATATAATAAAGCTCAGCACCACAATAGGTGGAGCAGCTAGAGAATGCTAAAGACTCTAACTGAAACATAACAAACTAATATTATTACTAATATTATTTAGCTGGACCAATAAAAGCCAATCATATTAACTACTTGAGAGATTTGTTGACAAAGAGAATATTCAAATCACACAACAAATTGATGTGAGAAGTATCTCGCAATGTCCTTGTTTGACAATCAGCAGTTAGCGGTTAGCGTTAGCGGATTTAACCAGCGAATTATATCAACGGTTGGTAAAAAGATATTTGAAAAAATTAATTGTTTAGATTAACATGTAAAATGACCTAAGGGTATACATATATTTAATAATAATTTAATTATAATAATTGTTTTAAAAAAAATATATATATATATAAGTAAGCTAATCATATTAACTACTTAAGGAGATTTATTGACAAAAAGACTATTCAAATCACACAACAAATTGAAGTGGGAAACTACCTCATAATGTCCTTGTTTGGCAATTAGCAGTTAACTCTTCGATATTAGTATATATTTAATATTTTATGCCCTAATTTTTATTTGCTCTCCCTTATGTCCCGTATTTGGTTTCAACCATACCTATACAATTATTTTATTACAATTATAATCAATCTTGACTATATTATCTTGCATTTGTAAACTTAGAATTACCTATTTAAATACGCAAATTCAACATTCAATTATTTATGCATGAAAAATTCCAATATAATCTTGCATTGATATACTTTAAAGTACTTATTTAAAAAAAAAAAAAACATTGGGCATTATCCCAATCGTGCAATGCGTGTAAAAAACTAGTTATATTATAAAAACCTACACTGCAAATTAAACAACTTTGAGCAGCTTTATGAATTTTAGACTTTTAGAGCAATAAACGGTTACGAAAAACTATTTAACCAAACACTTATATTGATTGTTTAATCAAGTCAAACAACTAATAGTGATCAAATAAGTCAAAATTGACTAATAGACTAACTAATTTACCAAACAAGATCATTATAAAAACCTATGCTGCAAATTAAACGACTTGTGGATAAATCTTTGGTGATGAACACTTTCAAAGAGTATTAGAGGTCATCAAAGTGCCATATTAGACAATACAATAACACCATATTATAATCTACCATCAATTAATATTACAATCAAAAGATATAATTTAATACACTGAAAAACAACTAAATTAAAATCACAAAGTATAGATATACAAGTAATAATACAACACATACTAAACCTCGTGACCACCGGCCATTAAATTAAAAGAAATACTTCTCCTTACCAGATGCTTTGTCGGGTCGGGATGTAGGAGGCCTTTAGGGTTGGGGTTCAACCTTTGGAAAGAAAGAAATACTTCCGCTTACCATTTATGATATGTGAAATGGTAATTTCTGGAATGTGAGATATCTTTGCATAGTTTTCACCATTTTGCTCTAAACTTGCCATCAATTTGTCACCCATATCATGGATACTAATTGCTTTAAGATTAGACAAATGTTGAATGCCCAGCGGCACCTGCTCAAGCAATTTGCATTCATCCATGTAAAACTCTTCAAGATGATGTAATGCACCTTCCTCAATTCTTATCCATTTTAGTGCCTCGAAGCCGATGATACGCAGATGCTTGAGCTTTGAGAACTTTTTGGCCTTGAAGCACAATCCTTCCCCTTCATAAGACTTTAAAAGGCAAAGATATGCTAACATGGGTAGATCTTGGAAAAATGGCAATGGATCTTCAACAAGCCTATTCCATTGCAAGCGTAGACTGGTTAAGCCTACAAGTGAGGATAACCATTGAGGTACTCTTTCCAGATGCCCTATCAATTGTAATGTACGAAGACGAAGAGGAACGACATATAGAGGATGCTGAATATCAAGGATCTCATCCTCTGAATTTGACACAAGACATAGAGAGCAAAGGTTTGTCAACTTTTCAAATGACGAACAAAATTCTTTACCATCCTCATGTCGCAGTTTTGTAACTCCAAGTCTTCTTAGTTGTGTTAGCTTTCCTATCTCAGACACTACATTAGTATCATTTGCTTGTATAAAACACAACTTTTGTAAAGACAGTAATTCTCCAATCTTAAATGGAGTATTAAAGCTTTGCGTACTAATCCAAGGATTACTCCATTCGTCTTGGTAACGGTATACAAGGAGATGCCAAAGTTTACAAAGTTTTAAGAGTTCATTTGGCAACTCAATCACATCAGTTTGCTTCAAATCAAGTGTCTCTAAGTTTTGAAGACGTCCTATAGATTTGGAAACGCTTCTCAACTTTGTTCTTCTCAAACTCAAGTACTTCAGTTGAAACAAGTTGAAAACTTCATCGGGAATTTCCTCTAGTTCAGCACCTCTTAAATCCAATACCTTTAGAGGAATATATTTAGCAGTAAACATCTTTGATAATGAAGATGATACTGCTGAGCTTGAAAGTGGTTCAAAGAAATGTAGAGAACGAAGATGCATATTTGATGAAGTGCATTGTATAATATTTTCATCAAACCTATGGATTGCTAGACGTCGAAACTTGTTGGAAGGTTCTATGTTCTGCCCAGTGGCAATAATGATTGTAAAGTTTTGCTCTACTGACTTGGAAAGAATAACTTCTCGCAAAATATCGTGCACTCGAAAGCCCTTCATCCTTCCATCGTCAGACTTCTCTACTATTTGAATTAAGTTTCTATGAAGTAATTCATTGAGATATGCTTCAGCAACTTTTTCTTTTACTTGATGTTGGCCGTTCTCCCTAACAAACCCTTCTGCATTCCATAGTCGAATCACTCTCATTTTTTCAATGATGATATCCTCTGGAAAGATGCTTAAGTACAGGAAACAATACTTGAGATAATATGGTAGATCATAGTAACTGAGGGAAAGCAAATTCTTCATGTTCATCATCCCGTCATTGCTTTCCATTTGGATGTTGAGGCAGCTCTGGAATCTTTCCCATTCTTCAATGCTCTCACTCTTTGTAGCCAACACCCCAGCTATCACCACAATCGCTAGGGGTAGACCATCACATCTCTTTAAGATGTTCTTAGCAATGTTCACCAAGTGTTGAGGGCACAAACCACATAAGAATGTCTTTCTACAAAACAAAGTCCATGAATCTTCAGAGGACAAGGACTCTAAAGGGTAGACAATGCCGCCGCGGGTTTCGTGGCTTGTGTAGGCACCAATTTCACTATTCCTTGTTGTGATAAGTATACGACTACCAAAACTCTGCCTAGGAAATGAATATTTGATAGCCATCCAAGCATTAATGTCCCAAATGTCATCAAGAACAATTATGTATCTTTGTCCCGAAAGAATGTTCTTAATGAATTCTTTCAATTTATTTGAGTTCATGGCTTCAAAATCTTGAGTGGGCTTTTGCTTAGTTTGCTCCACTAGTTGCTTAATTGCATCTTTTAGCAACTCCTCAATCTTAAATGTTTCAGAAAATGTAACCCACACATGATACTGAAAGTGACTTATCACTTTGGCATCATCATAAACTTTTTTAACCAAAGTAGTCTTTCCCAAACCCCCCATTCCGACTACAGAATGAATCTTTAAATCATCATCAACGTCAAGCAGAAGACTAACAAGAAAATGCTTGGGTTTTTCAATACCTACCAGATCCGACTCTTCTAGCAAAAGGGCATCCCCTCGGCTATCATACCACCATTTGTTGTAGCTGTGGACAGTGTGAGCAGAGGTTGTTAACAAGCTTGGCTGTTCCTGAGAGATATTGTTCACTCTGGCCTTGATCCTTCGCAGCGCAAGAGCAAGCCTTCGCCGAGCTCTCAAGTTCTTGACGGAAGTGTATATGTTCTTGATCTTACCATAGAATCCCCCACTGCTCCACCCACCTCCAAAGCGGATCAAGAATTCGTCAAGTACATCTTCGGCGTCATAAGCCAGCTCCCGGACTATCTTCACCCAAGCTTTAACTTGAGGATCACTTTCTTCCGTCTCGTCCGCAACTCTCAAAACCGCCGTCAAACGATCGAAAGCATTCTTGACGTCTTCCGCATCATCTCTAATCCCTCCCAAGAGCGAGTACTCTTCACGGATCAACACTGATAATTGGTCCAACAGAAACGTTACAGCAGCGTCCGCCATGACTTTGTTACCGGCGAAGAAATGGTAGCAACTTGAATTGGCGGTGTTGTTTACTGGAAGTGGAAGAAGCAGAAACAGAATTTGATTTGATTTAGTGTGCAAAATGAAATGATTTCCTTTAGATGAATTATTGCATTCTCAATATTTGAAGGCCAAAGTCGTCCAAAACAGCGGACACAAATTATCTTTTCTATTAATTCAACTAGAGGTCCATTGTCTTTGGTGTCAATTTCAAGTTTAGTTTTGGACTATCGTTTTTGGCATTTAACATCCATAGACTATTATTTTTTAGATACTTTGGGGTTGTTTGGTTCACGGATTGTAAGATTACCTTAGGAAATGTTAGATTGCTGGGAATGTTAGATTACTGGGAATGTTAGATTCCTGTGTTTGGTTAAAATTGGGGTATGTAATATAATGATGTTTGGTTTAGGGTTATCTTTTATACACACTATAATATCCTTAACATATTTTCATATATTTTAATAAATTTAAAAATTAAAATAAATAAATAAGATAAAGGTAACATATATAATTACATGATTTTAAAATATTAACTAAATTCTTGAACTTGAGAAACAAAATTATTTTATAAGCTAACATAACATAATAAAAATAAAAAATATATATAATTACAAAAATAATTATATATATATATATATATATATATATATATATATATATATATATATATATAAACTAACATAACCAAGGTTATCTTACATTACCTAAGATTTTGAGGGGAATCACATTCCCTTCAAAATCCTATGTGGAGGGAATGTGACATTCCTTGGGAATGTTTGATTCCCTAAGATAATATGAACCAAACACCGGAATGTGAGCTTTGGAATGTCACATTCCCTAGTCTTTTTCATTACTTTTTTTATTTTTAGTAAGGACACTTTTGTCTCTTCATATTTTTCTTTTGTTATTTTTCCGATTTCAACTGGTTTAATTGGTTTAGGACTTTACAAAAAATTGGTAGAAAAATATAATTACTAAAGATCATAGGTTACTTAAAGTTATAAACGAATTAAGCTGGTCGAAACCAGAAAAATAATAAAAGAAAAATATGAAGAGACAAAAATGCCCTTACTAAAAATAGGAAAAGTGATAAAAAGGACTAAAAGTGTGAAAAAAAAAAAGTCTAGAGATGTTAAATGGCAAAAGCGATAGTCTGGAACTAAATTTGAAGTTCCCATCAAAGACAAGGGACCTCTGGTAGAATTAACTCCAATTTAATATTATATTATTTTAGTCCACCACCTATAAATATAAAAAAGATAAAAGTTGACCAAGGTTTGAACGTCGGCAGAGACCGTGTGAGGATCATGGGCAGTGCCATGGAGTAGTGGGGACAGCTGCCTCCTTCACCCACCCACCTCACCCCTTATATATAGGGGACCATATATATATATATATATATATATATATATATATATATATATATATATATATATATATATGGATTCTGTGAGAACACTTCAATAAGATAGAAATAAGAACCAACCGCAGCTTTATATTTGTAGAAATAAGAACACTTCAGATTTAAAAAAAAAAAAAAAAAAAAAAAAAAAGACACGATGACAGTTTCGTAATTATCATCAACTCCGTTGTGCAAACTTTAACACTTAAATATTCAATCTTTAATAACTAAATATGCAAATCTGGTAAATTTTATAAATCAATGGAAATTGTAACTTTTAAATGGTTACACCTTAAGTAGTAAAAAGTGAATCATTTGACCAAATAAAATAAAAATTCAGTCATAAAACTCCAAAATCGAAACCCGACTTGCAATGTACTTCGCATTCAGCAAGTGCAAACTTTTAATACTAAATATGAAAAATGTTAACACTAAGTATGCAAAACGTTAATACTAAATGTGCCATCATGTTTGCATGGTAAAGTTGGTGATAATTACAAAAATGCCGCTGCATTTTTTTTTAAAAAAACTTTTATCTTGTGCATTCAAAATTTCCAGATGTAAGGTTGTAGTTAGTTCTACCTTAGTTTTCTCCTGGGGACTTGTTCTAATATGATCCAATACATACATACATACATACATACATACATACATACATACATACATACATACATACATACATACATACATACATACATACATATATATATATATATATATATATATATATATATATATATATATATACTCATGATCAAATGACTCTACCCTCTTCCTATGAGTCCGTGTGGACAGATTTGGGTCATTGAATGTTTGAGATCAATGGCATAGATTTTTGCAACTCTGCAAGTGAAGTGCACAGTACAGTTGCAAGTTGCACAGTTGCCCAGTTGCACACCGATATTTAATTTGGCCCTGTCTGTTGAGTCATTGACTCACCATGATTTACATCCTGCCAAATGTTCTATCGGATTGAGATGTATGAGACCCTTGTGATTGGAGATTCACCTTTGGGAGAAAAGAAAAAGTTAAAAATTTAACATGCGTTACTTACTCAAGGACACTCATTAGTTAAATTTTGTTAAAAGTTAAAATTTTAACATTCATTAGTTACTCAAGGATTGTCACTCGTTAAATTTTCTTACATTTAAAAACACAGGAATTTATATTTTGGATCGAGTCCACATAGTATTATGCGAAGTGTTATGCTGTGCAACCGTGTGCACCATGCATGGTGCATACGGTTGTAAAAACGACGTCGTTTTGACATTCGCCTTAAAAAAAATTCAGTTTTAATTTGATTGCCGTTAACGGCGTTATGTTGTGCATAATTTGAACTATATGGTTCATTCATTCTAGATATATAGTTCATTATTCATTCTAGATATATAGTTCATTCATTTTGGATATATATATTTCATTCATTCTGGATATATAGTTCATTCATTCTGGATATATAGTTCATTCATTTTGGGTATATATAGTTCATTCATTCTGGATATATAGTTCAAATTATGCACAACATAACGCCGTTAACGACAATTGAAACTTTTTTTTTTTTTTTTTTAAAGTAGGACGCGCGTTTTTAATCAAAACGACGCCGTTTTTGCAATCGTGTGCACCATGCATGGTGCACATGGTTGCACGACATAATTTGCGGCATTATGCACCTTGGATCGGAACGACAAGATACTGAATTATTCATACCTGTAAAGTACATAATTTCATAATACAAGACACAAAAATTCACAATACAAGACACATACACATGTTATATATTTACTTAATTTTTTCAAATTTAATTTAGGTACATAATTTATGTTCATAGGCACAGAATTTCACAAACACAAGATACATAAATTCATAACATAAGACACAATTACTAATTTGTTTCAGGTACATAATTCATACTTTAATTAAGGTACAAAATTTCATAACACTAGACACAAAAACTCACAACATAAGACACATACGCATCCACCAGGGTCCACAATGCAAACCATGGTCCATGATATAAGGATTGTAAAAACACTTAACAATTATTGATTTTTATTTAATTTGAAATCAAAAGAATAGTTATTATTTTAGTCCACCACCTATAAATATAAAAAAAAAATTAAAAATTTAGGGACAATTCAACCAAGCTTGTTAGACTGTTGACTTAGAAATCACACGAATTTTAGTTAGAACTCGGATGTTATTAATTCATAAGCTACTTGACTTATTATGTTGAAAAGTTACTATGAATAAGTTAGATGGTAGTCCTAAGCCAAGCACCTTGTGCTTAGATGACACCTTTGTGGCTCTCCTTGAAGGAAGGTCACAGGACCGAATGCCGGTGGTGGGGTCTTAACTCTTCGGGTTGCATTAGATAGAGAAAATATAGAATATATACTAATAGAGAAACAGTATTAAAAAAAAATGGTAGTCCTAAAAAAAAGAATTAAGTGATGATTAATTAAATGAATTATTGCATTCTCAATAATTGAAGGCCAAAGTGGACCGACCAAAAGAACAACCATGACTCCACTACTACTAATGGCAGACACAATAATAACAAAGTGGATCAAAATGGCATGGCAAAATATATATTATCAATGGTTCAATCTAAGACGTATAGTTATTGGCATGCATAAATATTATAGGCCAAAGTGAACAAATTAATGGCTGACACAATAATAACAAATTTGACCAAAATGACCGCAAACTTTGGGAAGAAATGGCATTTTTTTTTCCTGAGTTATATGCTTATAACACTTTTTTTCTCCTGAGTTACTCATGTATTCACATTTGTCCCCTCAATTATTATAAAAGTAGTGATTTTTCCCCTATGATATATTAAATGGACATTTCTACCCTTAAAATAAATATTTTATTTATTTTTCTTCTTCAACAAATTATTCTTCCAAAGTTTCACCTCTATGACCAGTTGAGCTATCCATGCGGGCTTCTTCAACAAATTATTATTTATACGTAGGGATGACCACGGTTCGGTTCGAACTGAACTGGACACTATAGCAATCAAATTGAAATTATTTTGTTATGATTCAGAACCAGAATCCAATATTTGGGTTTCCGTTTATTAAAATCGTGAAATAAAAAAGATGAATCCTGAACCGTGAACCGGAGATTAAAATCGGAACAACTACTAGCATTAGCTTAAAATTAGAATTATAATATTTACAAATAGTGTATGTTCTTTTTCGCATTTATTATGATTCTCACATATAAGTATATATAAACGCGATTTGGTTTTGATTTTGAACTGTTAATTCAAGGTTTCATATTCAATTTGAACTGCTGATTCAAACATTCTTTTAAAATTTTATTTTTTATTTTAAAAATATTCTAAATTCAACAACTAATGTATTTTATTTTTTCAATTCAAAACATGAACTGGCAGTTTCGGTTTGTGATTTTAATAAACTCTAAATATCGGGTTCCGGTTCTAAATTGTCATTATAACCTTTCTGTTTAGTTGCTATAGTGTCTTTCGGTTTGAACCAAATCGTGATTATAATTTGTTGGAGAAGAAAAATAAATGAAATATTTATTTTTAGGGTATATGTGTCCATT